ATCTTTAAAATATATATCTATGTGCTGTTCCGATATGGATTTTTAAATATGTTAATTTACTTAAACCTAAAGCTTATGCACTTACAATTGTACCACATAAGCTGGAGCAGTGTCCCTCCTCCCACCCAGAATGTTCAATTTTTCGTGTATTTTCCTAGTCTTGCTGGATGTTAGCCAAACTTAAGTTAGTGTTTGATACAGAAGACAGAATATAAAGCTGTAAGACAGAAAATTTATGTTTTGTCCTCAGTTCCTTATATGTGTGAGTTTAGATAGGTCACTTAACCTCTCCATATATTCATTTTCACCAGTGTAAAACTAGGGACCATGCCCTCTATATATCTCTAAAGGCAGGAAGAGTAAACGAGACACAAGAGAATTTTGTAAGCCCTTCTGAACATACATATCAATCTGGAGTACAGCTGAGCCTGGCTGTGTAACTTATCTTTTCAAGTGCTAATACCGTTAAGTCAATGTCTTTTGGTGCCAGGAACCTCATATCTCTCCCTCTCCTAGAGTACATCAGAGAGGTAGCTCTTCTGATCTGTGCAGAGGGATGGCCATCTTCTTCCTCAGTAAACACAGTGTTTACTGAGGAACTTTGAAGGTTTCTGCCAACCCCCCAACCCCTCCCCTGCCCACGCCAGCGTGGTATGTGGTGTGCAATCACAGGCTAGTTTTGGATTACTATGAGGCCGGTGACTAGAACACAGTGTGGTAGGGACTGGAGGCTCTCAGGCCTGGCTTTCCTCCTAAACACTCAGTCACAGCTCTTGAGCAGCAGCTTCCTTTGAGCCTCTAAAAAATGCCCAGAAAACTGCCCTGCCATCCACGTTTGCTGGCAAGCGTAGCACCAGGCATATGGCCAGTTTGAATGGTATTGGGAAGACATATGGAGAGAGAATTTTTTCCCTCCAACAGGCTTTATAACTTCAAAGGGATAGTTGGTTTGATTATCATTATATCAGCCAAGCACCTGACATCTTTGACCCTCTACAATTTGCCAGGCATTCTGTCTGGCATTCTGAGGAATTAAAAGAGGTAAAACATCACCCCATCCCCCAGGGCCTGAGATTAGACAGACATGGCAAAACAAATAACAAAATAATTACTCAAAATAGTCAGGAAAGGTGGTAATGATCGTTGTCTTTTGAAAATCTAAGAAAGGAGGGCATGTGCCAATAAGAATCAGGGATGGCTTCACAGAGCAGGTGACGTGGGAACTGAATCTCCAAAGCTGGATTTATTTTTGGATAATTGGAGAGGAGTGACATAGCAATAGTATGAATAAGAGCTTTTTTCCGGAGATGTTCATAGAAAGGTAGGCAATAAGAATGGTAATAAGGTTGACAAGATTACTTAGGAAATTTTTGTTTAGTCATATATTTAACAACATTCGTTCAATATTTGCTATAAGGTAGGCATCCTATTAAGAGCTGGATATAAAGTGATGGGCGAAATAGACCAAGTTCTTGCCCTCTTAACAGCTTACCTTACAGTCAGGGAGGTAGCCAATAAATAGGTAAACCAACACATAAATAAGTAATTCTAAAATGCATGGTGCTATGTAGGAAATGTTTTGCTGCAGGAAGTGCAAAAACCTAGGTAAGTGCCCTGGGAATGGCCACACCATGAAGAGATACTTATTAAACTGAAAGCTAATGGACGACCAGGATCCAGTCACTGAAAGCATGGAGAAGCCCATTCCAGGCAAGAAACACAGGGAGGGAAGAGTTTGATACACTTCATATACAAAGGAAGCCAGGGAGGTTGATTGCATAGGGTCTTAGTCATAACATTTTTAACATGTTTCTTATGGGTCATGTAGAATTCTTGACATCTTCATATTGGAGTACTCATGTAGTCGGTACTAGGTTTGTTAATGATGACTCTTACACATTGCTGTATAAATTAATTAGGTAAGTAGAAGTCAAGGCAATGAATACTATCTTCATCATCCAAAATTTAAAAGGGACAATGTATCGATATACATTTATTTTTTTTAAATGATTCCTTGAACTATTAACAAGAATTGGTAAGATTGATCATGTGAATACATATGTAAATTATGATCTTTTGGTAATGTAGGTAAAGTACTGATACAGCAAAAAAATAATAAGTTCAAATTATAAGGTACATTTTCTCTGTAGTAAGAAATATTTGTGATGATATCTTAATTCTTAAGACAATATATTGAAAGATGATCATGATGCAGAGAAAATCCCTTATTACAGCGTTCTGTGATATGTGAAAATAGGAGTGACATTGCAGAGTACAGTCAAGTCTAGACTAGACAAACATCTAAAGCAGTTTAGACGGCCAACATCTTAAGCAGTTGACCTTAGTAATTCAAAAGCAACATATAAAACATTATACGTGTGTATGCATGTGTGATGTGAATGTGTAAAAACTTAATTGACCCATCTGAGCCTCGAATTTAAAAGTGAATACAATTTTATTATTAATATTTTAGAAGTGTTAATCCAGAGCTTCTAATACATAGATTAACACCCTCCAAATCACTGTGTATATCTACTGCAAACTGTAAAGAGGGATTTTAAAAGCTTCCAAATGGATTCTTATCCTTTCATCCTTTTATTTGTGATAGTAACACTTGTGGGTTGAGAAATTAGATGAAAATAGTTGGACTTTATATTCTCCCTTTTATGCAAAACTTTGAAAACTTTCATAAATTAAACCTCTTATTGCCCCTGGGAAATCACAAAATGCACAATTCTTGTAGCATCTCTTACCATGTTCTGTGCTGGCCAGACACTTAGTTCTGTTTTAAGTTCTATTTAAAATCATCTTATATAATATATAAGAAAAAGTACATTTTTTTGAGCATATCTAGAATGCAAGCCCTCCAGCACAAGATTGTAGAATATTAACACTCTGCCAACCTGGACCTTACAAAGTTATTTTGAGTCACTTTGTGATTCTTTGATTCATTACCTGTAGTTAGATTATTCCTATCTGTTTATTTAAAAATAAGTCCTATTTATTAGCATATGTGTACACATAAAAAATGAAATATAAACCTGTTTCAAGTTTCTCTAAACTTTGTCATATCTTTTAAGAAACTCTTGGTGTTCCACATGCCATTTTTATTTGACTACATATGGTATATCTTAACTAGGAACACATTAAATGGATTCCATTGTGTCCAAATGGTATCTTCAACATGAAAAAAGGTGAAAATGTATGAGGATATTCTTTGGGAAGTGAGGCTACTTTGGAGTTCTGTTTTATTTTGTTGATAATGATGTATGGTTCTGGGATTGACAGCCATCTTTTGTGGTGATGACATATGGGAAAAGTTAGCATTTATTCTTCTTTAACGTTTTACTGGCATCTTTAGAATGTTATAAAACAAACTGTTTACTACTTAGTAGCTAAGCATTTCCCCTTCTTTGTTTCTTTAATTAACGTATTGATCTAAACCAAATCTATAGGATCAAGCTTATTGAGACAGACTTCCTGTGCCTCCATCATTGCTACACTCCCTACTTTTTCAGTAAATAAAATATGGACAAAACTGCAACATGTGGAGGCTGAATTATCTATTAAAGATTTTTGCCAACAGTACCTTAAAGATATTTCAACAATAATTGTGCTTTATCGCTTTTTCTGTGCCTGTGCATGTAACGAGGTTTTTAAAAAGACCAAATACAGCTTTCTGATTTCCATTTAATGGAAGAAGTAATAAAGTTTAATTGTATACTTGAGCACGGGGCATCATTTCCAGTACATCTGATCAATAATTCATCGATTGCCTTTGGCTCAAAGTAATATTTGAAATAAAATGGAGCCAGTGGGAGCTTATCTAAAAGTAGCTTCACCATTTCTATTAATTACGTTTTTCCTGAATTTGGATCATTAGGCTACCAAAGTGACGGCAGATGGTGAACAAACTGGACAGGATGCGGAGCGGACCAATACAAGAGCAAACTCCTTAGGAGAATTCATTAAGGAACTTGCCCAGGATGCCGAAGGTATTACAAAAGTCACAATTTAATCATTATTTATCCTAATGGACGCATAGAAAAAGGGATTACACATGATGGAAATTTTCTAGTAAGAGGTGACGTTTCTAAATTTGAGGGTTGGGTTTTAAAAGTATTTTGGTCAAGATATTCAAGGACATTATCTGCTACAACCTACAATGTTAAATTAGTGACAAGAGCCAGTAAATTAGTAATTATGAGTGCAGAATAGCAGTAAATTGAATGTATTCCTTCAGGAATGCTCTAATATTTAAGGAATGTCTATTATGATTAAATAACTAATGGGAAACTTATGCTTTGCTATTATTTGTATTCAAAACTAGTTAAAAGATGTTTATTTTTTTTAAAGCTAATTTTTATCATCCTCCTCAGTACATTAAAGCAGCACTTTAATTTCTCAAAATGGCTTTTAAAACACTTGGTGCTGGTTTTTAATGAACATCTGTTGCTTGGGATTTGGATGAGCTCACTACCTTACCAAAAGCTGTACTGCTTTCAGTCCACAATTCTCTAGGAGTTACTTCTTGGCATCTGTCAATGTGATTGAGAATCAAAGTGGAAGCCATCTTTGGGCAAAACCCCAAATTAAGAAACTCTTAAAGAAAATAGATAATACAAACAAACAAACCCACTAGCTCTTAAATATCTATTAGTATATAATAAACATGCATTCAAGTTTAGAAAATAAGAAAAAGTTGTTGTTTTTGCTTTAAAAAAAATAAATCATTTTTATTGCTCTACAATGTTATGCAGTTTAGATAGTTTGGTTTGTAATAAAGCCATGCAAGTCAGGACCTGAGATAAATCTTCAAGGCAGATCCTGACAGGTAACTCTTAGAAATCACTGGCCAAGAAGAGAGAGAATCTCCCAAAGATTCCCCACTGCGAGAAGCAACAGAGTTTTAATCTGAGGCATAATCTGAGGCAAAACATGTCAGGACCTGAAACAGAAATCGCTTGTACCAGAACAATCTCAGTTAACTCATGTGATTTACCTTCTACCTGATGAAGCTGTGCTTTTCCTGGTTTTATTTTCCTTTAATACCACATGAAGTGTCCACCTGCCTCCCAACAAACAAACAAACAAACAAATCCCCTTGCAAGTAGAGCAATTTCACTCTGACTGGACCCCTGAAGGCACTAGTCAATACTCCAGGAACTTTCCTTTTCTTTCCACCTCAACCTCAAACACTCACCACCCAGCAGCCTGTCCTGGGAACTCATTTTGATCATTTCAAATATTTGATCAGTTAAACATTGGGTATCTTCCAGTATACTCCAGTATTAGCACCTCCGGGTTTGTGCACTGCACAAAGGTCACCAGCAGGGGGCAGAGAGAGAATGATATGTAACCCACGCTTTGCTCACCATCCACATTCTATCCAGCAGAGGAAAGGGTTCAGTATCATCAAAGGTGTCTCCCATTCCCTAAATTGTGCATCAGTCAGGAAGTCTGTATGTCCAGATGGGGCACCTTTTTCTAATTCACATGGAAGTGCCCTGTGGGATGGCTGTGATCTGTACCTGAAGAATATGTAAACACTACTACTTTCTACTAGCGGGTACTAACATAAATAATAACAAAAATGATAACCACAGCCTTTTATAAAAGAACTGGCAAAATTAAGCCAATTGTCAAAATTTCATGAAAATTTAAATTTGAATATGCCAGAGTTAAACTAAATCCTGACTGAGGTGTGTATATATACTACAAGGCTTGTGGTGTGGGGGGATTTTTAAAACAGTAAAGGAAACTCACCAAAAGCTTTAAGGAGGTAATGTAACATACCCACACCCTTTTTTTCTCTTAAATCTACAATAATGTGGATAATCAAGTACTTTTAGGTTTTATTAGTGGCAGTAAATTGCTGTGGGAAAAGTGAATGCTTCAGCCTGGTATTATCTATGTCAGTTTTATTTTTAGATAGATGAAATACCTTACTCATCCTATCTTTTACCACAAGTCATGGACCCTTTACAGATAATCAACTTCTATTAATCTAAGGCATTTTTAACTCACTATAATTTTTAAACTCTACTGTGCTGACTCCTGATTAGATCACAAATAGACAATATTCCATGCACTATTAGAATCAATGAGTGAATATATATATATATATATATATATATATATATATATACCCATTAGTGTATGTCCTAACATATAATAGAACTTAATGAATATAAAAGACACTCTTTTTTCCTGTTTTTCAGATCACAGTATTTGTCATTCATGGTAAATTTACCCATCAGAGGATATTTTTTTCCAACTTCAGTATGAAAAACAGCTTTGCTTCTCCTGAGAAATTAATTTATTTGCATGTTACAGTTACTGTGTATCTCTTAAGTATCCCATTTTTGTTCCCTCCTATGCCTTGGCTACTAAGATGCTTAGCGCTAGATTTAGGATCCATGCACTGAGTGTTATGGTATGCCTTTGTGTGTATTAATATTTGTCCTGATTTATATTATTTTAAAAAGATTTTTCCCATTTCCTTTTATGTTAATTTTATCTAATTTTTTAAAAAATTAAAACTGTTTTAAATTCACTTAGAAATCAGGTAGAAATAAATGATTTTAAAAGACATATTTCTGTTACAATTGTTTTCAATACTATTGAAAACATACTGAAGTAGTAGCGTATATCTGTGAATCAGAGATTAACACATTCATCTTTAGTTTAAAAGTCCTCAGAGAGTTTCTAAATTCCATAGATAGGAGCAGTGGAACAATCAGACCTCTTCTATTAAAATTATGCTTTCTTTCTTAATATAGCATTATTTTTCTAAAGCAGTTTTTGTATACTCTAATAATTTTTCTAATTGCTTATATATTACTTTAATTTAAAAGAAATGATGCATTTCGAAAAGCACAGCTATCTTTTCCTTTCTCTCTGATATCATTTTTTTTCCACCAAATTTTCCTCTGCAGGAGTTTAGCTTTGAGAATAGACCACAAGAGAAATAGGAGGCTATAAGTCACAATCCTCCCTTTCTCAATACCACCTAAGCCCAGAATCTAAAGTCAATCAGATTTTTAAAAATCTAATCAAAGCTAATTTATATATCCATTTAATAAAGGAAAAACATTAGCTTTGGCAGGTTGCAAAGCGGGGTTTATCCTTTCATTCACAAAAGAAAAATGAATGCAAATGAAGTCAATGGTTACTTACATGCTACAATTGGTTAAAATCAACTCTACAGACAGGCAAGAACTCAAACCAAATGGCTATATTATAGGTAGAGCCAAATCAACTGCTGCTTTCTCGAAGTCTAAGAAGTAGAAATCTTCTTAGACGTAATCATTAGCATTCTAACCTGGTTCCCACATAGTCTGCTGGATCAAAGAGCCTTCATATCAGTCAGTCTATGATCACTGTGTTTCCTTAGCAAACATGACACAGCCTAGGTGCTATCTTACTGAAACATGGGGGTGGGAGCTTGAGAAGCTTCTTTGGTATATGTCAAGGGATGACTGTTAGCCAGTTGACCAAGGGAGAACCACTCTCACTAACTTCTAGGAATATAGCACCTGAGTAATAATTTCTAGCAGGAGGCTAAGAGTGGCCATGTTTTTCTTTAAAACACCCAATTCAAATTGTTCTGCAATTTAAACTATGGCTATCAGGAATAGGGGTTGGACTATAGCAACTTTCCAACCAAAGGCACTTATTATGGAAAGAGAATTAGAAAAATTCATTTTGGAAAGGGTAGAATTACAGATGGAAACTCAATTCCTTCTGTTGACCCAGTGATTCTCAAACTCTGGCATGCATCTAAAGCTCCCAGAGAACATGTTAAAATACAGATTGCTGGTCCCCACTCCTGGAATTTTTGACTCAGTAGGTCTGAATTTCTAATAAGTTACTAGGTGATATCGATGCTCCTCATTTGGGGATCACATTTCAGGACAACTCTACTTACCCGCCATGCCACACCATGCCCCATGGGTGCTCAATTTGGCCTGGCCACGTATGTGTACCCATTTCAGGAGCTTCGCCCATTATATCCCTGGAATAGCTCTTTTCAGTGTCAATCAGAAAAGTTTCTCGAAGAATAGAAATGAATTGGCAGAACTCTTTTTGTCTTAAAGAGGTCTCAGGATATAACCTTGAATGGTATAAAGTGCCACTTGGCCAACCCGCAGCCTTCATTCTAGGGATTCTCATAGGTAATATTATATAAGTAAGGGTTTGGCAAATGAAAAGGTTAAAAAAAAACCATCTCCTTTCAACTTGTTAAATTAATGTTCCATAGAACACACCTCAGGAAAACTTGGTCTAAAACTAATGGTAGAACTGCAAAAATGTTTCAATTCACCAGTTTTTCAAATTTTTATTTGACATAGCATTCTTTTTTCAAATGAAAATTTTTCCCAGAATACCAATTTATAAAAGAAATTCTTGGCAGAATAGACATCGTTTGTAAAATATCTGAAGCACCTGGGGTATCCTAAATTTGTGAAGAGCACAGTTTGAAACTCCATATTATGCATAATAAACACAAAGCCTTATGATGGACGTTATTGCCAGAAGGCATCTTTGAGCCCCTAATCTATAATGCTTGTCCCCAGACCAGTGCTCCTTGCCTCACTTCTTTAAAAACATGAACACAGGACTGCGTGGAAGTTCAAACCCAGGTTCATTTTTAGATATCACACCACCAGTAGTATGTCTGTACTCAGTATTTAAATTTACAATCGATTGAGTATGATTGTGTCTTACCAATGTAGACCTTACGTTTTCAGCTTCCAAGTGTTAGGCTACATCTCAACTTTTACCCCTTACCTGAAAGCGATTTGAGCCACTTCTTTCTCTTTGTGTTTCTCAAAAGGAAGAAACACCATGCTTTAATTACCGGGCCCTCAAAAAGAACTCTAATATGAAGAACTATGTCCCATGTCCCTGTTTGCTAAGGATGTTGTATTAAATAACTGCCTTCGCTTCCCAGCAGGAGCACTTTGGCAGGCTCCATTTCATCTGAAGATGGTGGGGCAGAGCAGGTGCTGAGGGGCGTTTTTGCCTGTGGCATTTTTGTTTACTAATTTGCAAAATTTCTTTTACCTCCCACAGCTGTAAATGAAAAAGCTGTAAAACTAAATGAAACTCTAGGAATTCAAGACAAGGCCTTTGAGAGAAATTTGCAAGCGCTTCAGAAAGAGATTGATCAGATGATGAGAGAATTGAGGAGGAAAAATCTAGACCCACAGAAAGAAGTTGCTGAAGATGAGTTGGTGTGAGTAGATGCTCTATTATGTTTTCGTTGGATCACTTGATAACTTGAGCCTTCCAAAATGTTGCTTAGAGTTTTGTAAAATTTCCGTCACATACTTTGTTTGCTATTTATTTTTTATTTACTTAGTTATCATTTATCTTGCTGTAAAATAGATTGAAAGCATGTTTTTGCCTATATATAAATAATCAAGTAAATGATGATTTTTAGTGTAGTACCTTTTATAATTAGGCTAATGGGCATGCTTTATTAATTGCCTGTATTAGAGACTTTTAAACTATCAATAGTTTTGTTGTTGCTGTTTTTTTAATCAAAATACCTTTGGATAAAGCTATGAAATTAGCAGGCCATCTTATATATTTTATCATCTCACAAAACACTAAATAAAGAGTTGTCAAATAATAAATGATTAATACTCTGAAATAAGGGTTGGGAATTGAGTTTGGAAATAGTAATAGGGATTTTACCAATGCTAATTAACTCCTGTGACCACACACTCAATAAAAAATACATTTTTACATTCACAGTCATGTAACTTCAAAGTGATAGTGTTAGTAAACATAAATAATGTATATTAAACTAACATGAGCAACATCCGAGAACTTGTTAGAAATACAAATTACCAAACCCAACCCCAGACCTATTGAATCAGAAACATTGGGGATGAAGTCCAGCAACGTTTTGACAAGTACTTTAGAGGATTCTGATGCCTATTAGTTCCAGAACTGTTTTTCAAGTATTTACACTTTTCTTAAAGACTCAGATATTATCACTTTAGGAACGCTATTAAGTTAAACTCAGGAAACTACTAGATCACTCAGAAGAAAAAGAAAAGTAGATCAAAATCATGATTTTATATTAGCACATCAATACCATAAGAGTTCTGTTCACAGTTTCTGACCAAAGATATCAATATTTTATATCTCATTTTATATATTCATACTTTATATTTAAAATAACAGAGAAAATATCTCATTATGTTGTATCAGGTAGATTTTTATTTTGGTATGTGAGGTAACTCATGAGCCTCATTTCATCAGTCAGATTATAGAAAATATGAGATCCTTCCCAATTGAAAATTTATATTACTTAACCAATGAATAATGTGTGGATTTGTTGTGCTTTAATTTTAGTTGTAAGTGGTCTCACCACTTTTCAGGTGTCAGTTTTCAACTTGGTTTTGCATATGCTCAGTCTTCTTTAAGTACTGTCTTATTTTTCCATTCTTTTCATGTTAGCATCTCTTTGTAACAGTTTACCCATAAACCGAACCAGTGATAAGAGCTGATTGTCTGTTATTGGGCGGGGGTGCTTGCAGAGCTGCAGAAGGCCTGCTGAAGAAAGTGAAGAAGCTGTTTGGAGAGTCCCGAGAGAAAAATGAAGAAATGGAAAAGGATCTCCGGGAGAAACTGGCAGACCACAAAAACAAGCTTGATGAGGCTTGGGACCTGTTGAGAGAAGCTACAGATAAAACCAGAGAAGCTAATCGCTTATCCACAGCAAACCAGAAAAACATGACTGATTTGGAAGTGAGTCTTAGGGGCTCTTTCATCTGAATCTAGGGGTGCGGGGTGGGGGGTGACCATGGCTGGCTGAGTCAAGTTGATGCACATTTCTCTCTCTCTCTCTCTCTCTCTCTCTCTCTCTCTCTCTCTGTCTCTCTCTCTCTCTGTCTCTCTCTCTGTCTCTCTCTCTCTCTCTCTCTGTCTCTCTCTCTCTCTGTCTCTCTCTCTCTCTTTCTTTCACACACACACACACACACACACACACACACACACACACACACACACCCATCTCTATCTCTATTCAATACTTAATATGGAATATTGATCACTTTTTCCAAGAGTAAATTCAGCACTTATGATGGCACAAACCTGTACTGGGTATATAGAAAACAACTTTCCCCCCAAAACATACTTACCTTTGCTGTTTTCAAAATATTTAAAAATATTTAACCCCAACAGATATGAAAACAGCAGCAGACCTATATCTCTTCTAACATATAATCTCACCGTCAACTATAACTGAAAACTCCCTGGCATATGTTATACTTCCAAATATGTTTGTGGAATGACAGTTTAAAATTAATCTGGATTTTTTTTTTATGTACTTGCTTCTTTTCATTTTTCTTTGGATTAAAAAGAGGGCAAATTAATTTTTTTAAGTATTTTTTTTTTCTCAGTCCCTCTTCCAAGACTTAGCCTTGTCATTCTGATAGAAGATTGAAGAGACTCACTTTTTCTTTAACTGATGTATCTAATCTGAACCAATTTGGAGTCTATTGATATACTGGCAATATTAAAGAAAAAGCACCATCTCGTGAGGCAGGGTCCTGGGCCATTGTCATGTCATGATTCGTCTTGCTCGGTTACACACCAATGGTGTAACTTATCTGGAGGTACACCTCTTCATTCAATGGCAACAGTTTAAGACATTAAAATTACCTGTGTGGAAAGTATAATAAGTGTCTGGGAAGTATTTCAAGAAGAGTTATAGTGGCGCAGTAAATGGTGCATTCAGCTATTCCTTCCTTTTAGTGATGTTTAAAACTAGACGTCATCGTTCTTGGGACCCCTCTTAAGATGTCCAGAGCTTATGTGGTCAGCATTGAAGTTCTAAGTAGTCCTTTTCATATTTTCATTTGCTCTGCCATGCTTAAGTAAAGGCTTATTAAAGTTTCCTGGAGTCAATAAACTGATTAACATGAGTAAGGCACAGCTTAGTTAAGGTGGTTTGCCAAAGCTGATTAAAGTTGATTACCAAGGTTGGTACTAGATGGGCTAAAAAATCACCTGGAGTGTTTGTTAAACAGGTATGTTCCCTGGGCTCTCGCCCAGAGCCTGAGTTGGCTGGTTTGGGATGTGGCCCAGAGTCCATATTCCAAAATTGTCGCTGGGTTAATCTGATATGCATACAGGTTTAAGAACAACTGACACATTGTATCATTTCATTGAATAATTTTCAAATACATGACTTTTTTTGCCTGTTTCCACCAAGAAGGTGACATAGTTAAGACCCAACTCAAATGATTTTTTTATTTTAAAGGAGGTATGCATATAATTTTTATTATTAACATTTATCAAGTCCCTGCTAAGTTCAGGAGATGTGCTAAACACAAAATGGATAATTTCACATGAATCTAGGGTGTGGGGTGGGGGTTGGTCCTCATGGTGTGGTCCTTGGAATAGCAGCATTAACATCACCTGGAAACTTGTTAAAAAAGCAAATTCTCAGGCCCCACCCAAAACTATCAACTCAGAACCTGCAAGTGTGGCTCAGCAACCAGTGTTTTAAAACTGTGTCCAGCTTTTCAGCTGCTGCCTTAAGTTTGAGAACCATTGGTATTAACAATAAAGCACTATCTCTGATGACTTGTAGTGACTTGTATTTAGTGGGAGGTACACACAAATACACCATTCTATACACTAGAGTAATTATAGAGGCAAACAAAGGAAGGGCATCTAAGTCATCTCTGGGTTCAGGATGGGCTTCACAGAGGACCTGACACATGTGTTATATCTTGAAGGGTGGGCACTAGCTTGTCAAAATAGAAGAGGAAAGACATTCCGGAAATTAAGGAAAAACACATGCCAAGACACAGGAAAAAAAAAAAAAAGTAAGACATTTTGGGGAAAATTTGATCAGATTGGAATGAAGATTGCATGTGAACAAGTGAGGGGATAGAAAGCCAGTAAAGATAGAGAGGGTCCAGACCTTGGGTTTTAAGAGAATTTCATTCTGAGACTGATCTAAGGAATTTTGTTTTAACCCTGAAAGCTATCAGATGCAAATAGAATATTGGAATCATGGATTAAAATTACACTTTTGGGATTTATGAGTGGTTTGTGTAAACAGGAGAATTGGTTTCATAGTGGAAAATAATGTGATATAAGGCTAGGAAAGTAGGCTGGGATAATATTTAAATGCCGGTCAGACACCTACCGTATCACTGTGGTGTGGGTAAACAGGAAGTTTGTGGTTGAATAGGAAAAACTCTTGGCCTCATAAAACTTACTGTCTCCTAAAAATTCAGGCATTAATCTTTCACTGTATGTAATCCTGTGATTAATATGGTTTGGGAGAATCAGCAACAGATTCACAGAAATGATGGAGCAACATGGGCCTGAACACAGAGCTCTGAAATTATAAGTTGATCTCAGGAAATGGCACATAAAGAAATAACATTCATAAGTTACAGAAAAGCCTGTGGCAGAAGGTAGCTCTGGAAACAGTATTTGGAATCAGATCATAGGAAGCTTTGAATGGAGCCTTCTAGAAGTCGACGGGGTTAGAAGGGCATTTCCAGCAATGGAGGGAAGGCAGAGGGAACTTTGTGCCAATGGGCAAAGAGGAAATGAGCCATTCAATTAAGCAAGGGAACATGTATTGAACAATCAGTCTCCAAATCTGCCATTATAGCCTTGTAAAAGGAAGGATTGTGAAGAAAGTAAAGAGTGAGTTGCTAGATAAAAGATAGATAGGAAGATAGCTTTTGCAGGTTTTTAGTTCCCCTACACAGACACACACACACACACACACACACACACACACACACACACACACACACAATGTGTTAAACTTACAGATCTCTGGAATGAATTAAGATCTAATTAGAAGTCAAAAGTAGAAATATAATCAACTTTGGAATCCAAACAGAATCACTTAATTATGCTTATAACATACGTTTGGAGAATAATTTTCTATACATGGGCCTCTTTTTTGTTCCTCAAACACTCAAAGCTTGTTACCTTAGGAATTTTAGATCCTATATCATTCTCTATTCACTCCCTCCCTTTATTTAGCTTTATATCCTCATCATTGCTTAAAAATATATATTCATTTACTTTTTTTTTTTCTCCCTAATCCAGACAAGCCATGAGGAGCATATCTTTTTGTTCACTGTATCCCCAGGGCCTAGGACAGCGTCTGGCATAAAGAACAGAAACATTTTTTTCTTCAACAAATAAGTGCCATAAAACAAACAGAAATGCATGTTATATGCATACTTTTATTACTATTTGGGGGCTCCAAATCTCCATCTTTCGTTGGTTCAAAGCTAGATTTTATCAGTGTCTAATGTGAAAATGAGCCCCCTCTGAAATCTCCTTAATCTCTAGATCATTATTTCTGCTTCAGTATGATAAAGAACACATCTGGATATTGCATAACAATTAATTCCCTAAAGTAACTTGAATAGAGCTTTTATAGAGATTCTAACTCACTTCTTAATTGAAAGCTCTTCACTTAATGTATGTGTGGAAATATTTTTCCTTCCATTGGTATAGCATTTTAAATTACTTGATTCATTAATACGAATAAGCTGTGTTGAAAAAAAAGTTCTTGAAAGTCTATATGTGGTATAACATTAAAGCAGTTAATTCAAAAGCTAAGGGCTAAAACTGGAAGTTATGTAAATTTTATATAAACAATGTCAGACCCTTGGAAAATAGATATGACATAATCAGGGGCATCAAGACAAACCCTACGTTTTTTGTCCCTGAAAAGGGAATGACATATTTGAAACTTCCTCTGCATTAGCCAGTGATGGGAGTAGCTGATGAGCCAAGTGTCACCAGTTCAAGTCCCAGCAATGGATTCTTATTTCATTTATTCATTCAAAAATATTTATTGAGGAAACTCTTCTAATATTGGAGATACAATGAGGCATAAGACTATTTTTATGGAATTTATATTATAGTGAGAGATAGTCATTAAAGCAATAAATAAATAGTATGTAATGTGGCCATAAACTCTGGAACATGAGCATCTGATATACATAAAAAGTGATATATTCAGTGGCACTGCATGATGCATTCAATCTATTAGCCTTCATCAGCTACATTCAGTTCAATAGGCTGTGTATTTCCACTAGTTCCTGTACATGCATTTTGTGATGAATTGGTATCACTGATTTTTATTAAATAACATGAGCTTTTATCAACTCCCTGAAGAAGCAATCAGGATGGTTCAACCTATGCAAAAAATAAAATAATATTATCTATGTTTATATGGTTTATGGCCACCCAATAGAATACAATTTAGATAAATGAGTGTTAAGAAGGGGAACAAAATGAGATAATTATAATAGTCAACAATCACATCATGTTACTGTGTTTGTAAGGCAGTGTTCTAAGCCAGTTTTTCTCAAATTTTACTGTGTATATCATCGGGGGTTTTTGTAAAATGCAGGTTCTAAGTTGATAGTTCCGAAAAAGGCACTGAAATGGCGCATTACTAATACAATTCCAGGCAGAGCTGGGATCCCAGTCTGGTCAGGCTGTTGCCTGAATCCAGTTTGTAGTCACTATCTTCTAGTACATAGAAAATAATTGGGATGAAAATAAGTGCTATTTTAGATACGTGATCAGAAAAGTGACCATGAGCAGAGAATGGAGGAGGAAATAAGGCAGAGGACTAGAGAAAAGCACATGGTTGAGGGAA